GTGAGTTGCCGCGAGGGACGCGCCTGCGGGTCAGTGCCGCGGCAGAGCTGCGGGCAGCCGCGCTGCTCCTCGTGGCAAACTTTGTACTCCATGCACCAGGGAATGTTTTCTCTCCTTCTAAACATTGCTCCTCCCTTCTTGCTGTGGCCAGAGGCACTCGGTCCGCTCTCCACCTCTGGGCCCCGTCAGGACAGTGCCGTGTACTCCGGCCAAAGACGTCATCGCCCGTTGCATTCCTCCTCTCTTTGCTAACCGTGGCTTTTGTTTCCTTTTCCAGTTGATTGGTTTGGGTCCCCACAACCCCAAGAAGAAGCAGGACCTAGATAAGCTTTATGATCTAAAAGCTAAAGCCCAACAGATTATGAACCAGTTTGGCCCTTCTACCTTGATCAACCTCTCCAACTTCTCGATAAAGCCCGAACCAGCCAGCACTCCCCCACAGAGCTCCATGGCCAACAGCACCGCCGTGGCGAAGATGCCGGGGACGCCCAGCGGAGGAGGACGCCTCAGTCCTGAAAGCAACCAGGTAATTTCATCCCCGGCTCTGGGACGACGGGGAAGATGCTCACACCTGCCCGTGGCTTAGTTCCTCTCCTTCCTTAAAATACTGGGAAAAACTTCACGTCTGTTAAAGTATCAGTTACTGAGGGAGCGAACGTCTTCGTGTATTTATATTAGGGGACCTAATAGATGCTTACAAATATCTGCAGGGTGGGGGTCAGGAGGATGGGGCCAGGCTCTTTCCAGTGGTGCCCAGCGACAGGACAAGGGGCAATGGGCACAAACTGAAGCAGAGGAAGCTCCAGCTGAAGACGAGGAAGAACTTCTTCCCTCTGAGGGTGACGGAGCCCTGGCCCAGGCTGCCCAGGGAGGCTGTGGAGTCTCCTTCTCTGGGATTCTGTGATTTCTTCCAGGTGCTTTCAGGCTGGATGGGGTACAGAGGCTTTTTCAGTCTCAGGAAAACGTATACTGGGGGTGTGATTGGGAAATTCTTTTTAAATGTGGTCTAGGTGGGAGAAATAAGCCCATGTCTTACTGGGGCGGTGCGAGAGGCAGCATCGCTGCCAGGCGCCGGTGGCATGCGTGTTTGCCCATCATGGCGTCGAGTAAAATACGCTGCTGCCTGGCAAGCGCTCCGGGAGCGCAGCGTGATCTCCCTGTGAGCTTCCCGGGCACCGTGACTGCTCTGGGAAGCGTCCAACCCCCGCACAAACACGCAGAGCAGTTCTGCCTGCGGTGTAAAGGCGCCAGGAAGGGCAGGAACGTCCCCTGGTGTCACGTAGCCACTCGTGTCTGAGTCTGGCCAGGCTGACAGATCGGCAGGGGTAACTTCCATCCGGATCATGCAAGTCGAGGTGCCCCGCTGTTCAGCGGCAGTGAAATCCCGGCCGCCTGCCCTGACTGGGCTGAGAGGGTGCTGCCTCCTGCCCCAGAATCACCCAGCACTCGCATATCCCTGTCTGCCGTTTGAAACGCTAAAGGTGGTACGCGCGAGAGCTGTGGGAACACTTCCTCTGTGCCCTGAGCACAACGTTAGTCGCTGGTGCCTCGCTTGCGCTTGCTGCCGGGCTCTGGAGACCTCCAGTTTTGCCTTTGTCCCCCCTTGCCAGCAGCTGTGTGTCAGCCAGCAGCCTTTTAGTGCAGGGGACTAAGTTATCCGCGCCTGCTGCGTTCCATTTTCTGCTCAGAGCAACCACTGGGGCTTGAAAATGAATCCTTAAGGCCGGATATTTCTTATCTCTGCCATTCCCGACCCGATACGCTGTGTCAACACGTGTGGCTCGGGCCTTGGGGGAGGAGGCCGCTGGCAGCCGTGCTGCGTGGGCAGCGGCTTGGCTGGAGCAGGGTGGTAAATTGTTCTCTGCTCCCGCTCGCTCAGGTTTTAACCAAGAAGAAATTGCAGGACCTGGTGCGTGAGGTGGATCCAAACGAGCAGCTGGATGAAGACGTGGAGGAAGTAGGTACCACCCCGTGGCGGGGGCTGCAGAAGGAGCTGGTCTGAGGTTGGTCCCTGTGGCCAGGGCGGGGAGGGCTGCTTCGCTTCACCCTTCGTTGTTCCCGAGGTCGCTGCAGCCTTCAGCCGTCCATGTCTGTTCGGCGTCCCGGTGTCGAGACGGGTTTTAAAGCAGCAGCTGTAGCAAACGCCTTTGAAGTACTGGCTTCTGAGGGTTCATTTTCCTACTTTCCGCATAATTCAGCTGCTCAGTGCTGCTGACACGGGTTGTTGTCCTTGTTCTGCTGCAGATGCTGTTGCAGATCGCCGACGATTTCATAGAGAGCGTGGTGACAGCTGCCTGCCAGCTGGCGCGGCATCGCAAGTCGAACACCCTGGAAGTCAAAGACGTCCAGTTGCATCTCGGTGAGTGATTCCCCCCGTGCCCCCCCAGCTGAGAGCTGAAGCAGGGGCGTGCCCGCAGTGTTGGGGTGGAAACCCATGAGCAGCTGCTCGTTTGTTGCTACTTAATAATCCCTTCATCATCAGGGGCTGGACGGGGTGTCTGCCCCGAACCATCCCCCCTCCAGATTTTGCCGTTGCGCAGTTCGTAGCTGCCCACCAGCCCATGCTGGGAGCTCCCTAGCACAGGGACCGCGTCTCTCCTCTGTTTAACGCCGCGCCGCTCTCCGCTGCTCTGCTTTTCTGACGCTTTTCGAACCGGCGTGCAGCTCGCCAGCACGTCTCTTGTGTCCGGTGCGGGCAGGTGTGCTGCCAGTGTGTTCATGGTGACGAGGCCGGCATCTCAAGGGTGGGGGTCAGGAGGACAGGGCCAAACTCTTTCCAGTGGTGCCCAGCGACAGGACAAGGGGCAACGGGCACAAACTGAAGCAGAGGCAGCTCCAGATGAACCCGAGGAAGAAATTCTTACTGAGGGTGACGGAGCCCTGGCCCAGGCTGCCCAGGGAGGCTGTGGAGTCTCCTTCTCTGGAGATATTCCAGCCCCGCCTGGACGCGGTGCTGTGCAGCCTGCTCTGGGTGACCCTGCTTGGGCAGGGGGTTGGGCTGGGTGACCCACAGAGGTCCCTCCCAACCCCGAACATTCTGTAATTCTGTGCTGACCTGCGCTCTCTCTTCCAGAGCGTCAGTGGAACATGTGGATCCCGGGCTTTGGTTCTGAAGAAATCAGGCCCTACAAAAAAGCCTGCACTACAGAAGCTCACAAGCAGGTAAGGAGCCCTCGGCAACACCGAGAATCGCACGGTGGGAGCCTGATGTGGCAAGGGTGGTCCTGGACTCCTGGCACGACGTGAAGTCATAGCCTCTTCCGAGCGGTTTGGATTTGAAACAACTTCCCAAGTCCCCTGGCCTGTTTGTGCGGAGAGGATGGAGGCTGGCCTGGCTCCTCCGTCGTGGTGTGGTGCTGGCTGCGCCCCGGGGAGCCCCAGTGCTCGCTGTCCGAAGGGCAGCCCAGCTTGGAGGGGTTAAAAACCAGCTGAGAGCTGCAGGCGGTAACTTGTCAGCTGCCCCCCTGCAGATCCTGCACTCCGGCTTTGCGCAGAAGGGGCTGAAAACACTGCGAACTCCTCTGGTTTGGTAGAAAATCCGTACCCAGGCGTGGGGGACAGGGGTAGGTGCTGACGTCCCCCCTCGAACCGCTCCGGGAGCCTGGATGTTCCAGGAGAACCGCAGGGCTCAGACAGGCTGCGGCTCGAGTTCCTGCGGCCGTTCCGTGCTGCGCTCTGGTGTTCTGTGAGCAGCGCTCGCCACTGTGAGGGTTTAAGGGGCTGCAGAGAGCTAAAGGCCTGGGCTGGGTGAGCCAGCGCATCTCTGCTCCCGCAGCTCCCGCCGGGCAGGGACAGGAGGCCTCGAAGCGGGGTTTGATCCCGTTGGCCCTCACCAGCCCCGGCTGTCGGGGAGAGGAGCGCGGACGCTTTCTTCTGCTCCTGCTCCAGCTTGGGACCCCATTAAGATTCAAACGGACTGGAAAGACCTGTGTGGAAACGAGTCGGGCGGTGTCCCGAGCGAGCCCCAGGCACCGCGCTCCCGCAGGGCTGCGGGCTGTTTCGCAGCAACCTGGTCTGAGACGCTCGGCTTCCCACGTTTTTCCTCTTTTTCTTCTCACAGAGAATGGCGCTGATTCGCAAAACCACCAAGAAATAGCCCCAGGCAGAGCCAGGAGAAGTCGCCAGTGCGTTTTGGGATGTCCGCCTCTCCGCTGAAGCCTCCGCCACGCCATCCATGGGATATTTTTTTTAATGCTTTACAGAGAAGCATATATTTTTTATTAACGGTGCAGCAATATCTTGACTTTCTGAGGAGATCTGCCAAAAACATCCTACGCCCCCTTCCTCGTTCCCCCGAGAGCACGACATTATCTCGGAACAAGGACTTTTATTTGTGACTTGAACGTGGTTTATCGTATCGGTGATTATCCAAGGGACAGAGCATTGATCTTGTGTGGGACAGTATTAGAAGCATCTGTAGAGGTTTTTGTTTCCTCCTTCCTGCCCCTACCTGCTCCAGTACTTTGTAATGTCAGTGTTTATATAAATACTTGCGTTTGTTTTACATGAATAAAGAAATTATTAATCTAAACCCACGGCACAGTCTGGGGCTGTTCAGGTGGCGTGCGGAGGGGACGGCGAGTGAGACGGGCAGCCCCCGCGCTGCCTGGTTTCTGCATCTGGTGCTGTTCCGGTGAGCGATCCCCTGCCCCGGGCTTTGAAGCGAGTGGAGAGACTTGGCCGTGGGGCCGGGCAGGTGATTTCCCCCCTCTCCTCCAGCCCCGGGCAAGGGGTTTGCCCATCGCTTGGAAACGTGGACTGGTGGGAGTGGGCTGTGGTGGCTGAGGACAAGAAATCAAGGTGATGCTGGTGCTCTGCTTGCCAGGGGCATCATGAAATGACCTCATGTTGCGTCAGGGGAGGTTTAGATTCAATATCAGGAAAAATTTCATTACTGAAGGAGTGGTCAGGCACTGGACCAGGCTGCCCAGGGCAATGGTGGAGTCTGGAGGGGTTCAAAAAATGTGTAGATACTGCACTTCAGGACACGGTTTAGCAGGCGTGGTGGGGTTGGGGTGATGGTTGGGCTTGGTGACCTCAGAGGGCTTTTCCAACCTCAATGATTCTATGAAAGGCCACGTCCCCGCGCCTGTTC